TACTCCAATCTAATTGATAAGATTTTTGCACAACTCTTGTATTTTTACTCTAATTTTAAGTCAGACCAAACCAAACATTATTGAATGCTGCTTACAGAAATTAGTTTGTACAAAACGGGACCACAGCGGCTGCAACAAAATGTTAATTAGCCTGGTATCAAGAGTAGTTAAATAGTACTCTAATCAGCGCAGGATAATACTGTTCGCTGCCCATTATTTGAAATGCCACCTTCTCATTGGTTGATAAGTACCCTTTGCAGATGTTATCAGACGTGCTTGAGGTCAATACACAAACATAAAAAAACAAACTCTCACATGTGTAATGATAGTTTAAACAAAAACTGATTCATTCACGTTAAGAGATCCTGGTTATTTTCATCTAGAAAATAGCGTGAACGTGTTTTTGTATGTTAAGAATGTTCCACGCACAACTGAAATACAAGCATCTACAACACCCTAATCACACCGTCAATTTCTTCATCTCCAAGCTAACACAGCATGTATATAAAACATTTTGATACATTATAACTGAAGAGAATGTTTGCCTTAAGACTGGACTACCAATTATTATGCACATCCCTAACATTGCTCCATTATCACAGTATAAAGGGCAGTGCGGTGTCTTTATTCTCTAAACCTGTCCTTGAAACTCGCATCAGAATGCCAGTTGGAAGTCTGTCATCATCAGAAGACATTAAAAATAATGGTTTTAGTGTATTTCATTAAATTTTATTGAGCATAAATGAGACTATAAATGTAGCAATATTAACAGACAAAGTATTTTATTTTCAATTACTGGAGTGAGACCTATGAAAAAATCAGGATTGCTATAAGTAACTGAATATTTGGACAAAACAGATACAAAATGTACTATTAAAGAAACAACACAGACTGTTTCAATAATTTAAACATAATGGTCACATTAGACCCTTGTCTAATATATATCAGCAAAAAAATATAAATTTTACCTTGGCATTCTTCGTATGTAACAAAGTCGCTGAGTTTACGATAGTATTGGTACGATCCAAAAAAAAAAAAGGTTTTGCTTCTAGTCATTGCGTGCATCAGTTTGAAAGTCGCACCTGACATTTTATTTATTTCGCATAACGACAGAATAGAGGAAATGTTTTGTGTTTCAGGGGATGATTTGTGAATCTAAGTCAACCTTAAATGCATGTATTTGAAAGCATTATCTAATAAATCTGAAACATTATCTCGTTGTTGTGGCATTGAATAATCTTAAAAAAACCCACAAAAATAAATGCTGAAACCATATCACCACATCATTTTTTAATTTTCCCTATGAGAAGAAGCAAAATCTATTTTTTTTTTGTCTAATGAAAAGGACCATGAAAAACACCACCTGTTGACGCCATTTTTTAATCAACTTTATTGTCGATAGGGACTTTCAGCAGATAATGTGTTAACACTGCACTTATTGCCCACCTAATACCAATTACAAATAATTTAGTGTAAAATTTCAGTAGACTCATCATGTACAGTAATGTTGTAACATTGTTTTATCTAAACAGCTAAAGTGATTAACAATTGTATGAATGATTTTTTTTGATATTTAAATGCCTCTGTTTTCCAAATCTTTGACTCTGTAGATACGAACAAGCCAATGCTCTGTTGTATATGCTTCTTCTAACACATCCAATTCAAAGTCTTTGTTGCCAATTTCAGCATTACGTACACGATCATAACCTGTAGGTTTACCTGAAAAGAAAGAAGTAAATTATTACATATAATTTAACAAAATGGATATGGAATCCAAACCTGTCATTGAAAAACCTATCTATAACTACACCATGGTGTCTGTGGATTCAATAATTTCAGCGTATTGCCAGATTTGATATAATGTATCTTATGGTGTCTTGGGGACTTAATTTGTTAACGGGTACTAATAATTCAGCATTCAAGACCAGAAGAATTTTTTAGCAAGTCTGAAGAAGAAACTTGATGTGAAGTTTAGACAGTAGATGGTCTACATCATTCCTTTCTGTATTATATAACCTTTCCAATTCTTAATCTATTGTAATTTAAATCATAGTACTCTACTTTGTGTTGTGCGAGGAATTGTTATCATTCGTGGGAAGAGAAAAAACTCAGGTTTGTAAAGTTCAGATCAAAAAAAAAATTTAATTTAGGAGTGAAATGACACAAACTGACTCTTATTGAAAAGCATAGAATGAAGCAGACCTGAAGGAGAATGGAATGACGTATTCTGACTGAATCCTATTAAGAGAATGAAATGAAGCAGACCTGAAGGAGAATGGAATGACGTATTCTGACTGAATCCTATTAAGAGAATGAAATGAAGCAGACAGAGCCTCCCTGTAAATCAATATCAGCCGCTCAAAATAATAACCAAGTAGTTAACACATTACAAAGAATTTCTTAAACTCTATAGACAAGAATATCAAAGGTCCGATTTTTGTAGATGAAACAAGCGTGTTCAGAATACCATATATCAGTGTAATTCTTCAAGAATGTAGAATTTGTGAAAAAACAAAAGAAATCATATCTGCCAGACAGGGCACTCATTTACAGATTTCACCAACAAAATTGAATCGGCTGTTTGGAATTTGCTTCTAGTAGGATAATCATCCATAATTTTGAAGATATCACCTTTCTGCATGCAGATTGAAAAGATTTGATAGTCTTATAAATATGAACAACATTTATTACTATCAATTCATATTTTGCCTGTTTGGTTTCAAAATTAAATTTCACAGAACGTACATATTAATTTGAACAGTATTCGCTTTTTGCACAACAATAGTAATCCCATCTGGTGATGATAGCACATAGCCCCAACATGGATGGACTGTCTAAACACGAAGCACCAGTCAAGAGAACTATTTAAGATAGCCTTTAAATGAAACAGGCCAAACTTTGCATGCTTGGCCACAACCGTATTATTACACTAGTGATATAATGTCCTATTAATTGGTGGGAGAAGTTATAGTTCAGCTAAGATCAAATGCTACTATATAAACCTAGAATATAGAGAGTAAGGAGACCCATTACCCCAATATTCTGGAGAGAATCCAATTTCATACATCTTGACTACTTACCTGCTTCAGTGTACACTTGTCCAAATCTATAGTAGCACATTTTGTACATTAAACAATTGAGTAATGTAGAGGAGCCTTCTCTGTCAACTCTGAATTCACCAGTGGGTGTGTAGTAATCGTGTTCTTTGATGTGTTCCCCTCTCTCAGTACTTCCACCGATACGAACCATCCATAAAAACTTGTTGATATCTAAGAACAAATGATACAAGTGAAAATATTCCAATACATGCGAATGTTAAAGGAATTGAAACTTGTTTTCTTTAGTGACGGGGTGGGTAGTCATGTGTTAGAGCATTGAACAAAATCATGATTCGACCCGAAGAGCGCCAAAGTTAATATTTGTCACCATTCATAAATCTTAAGTTTTTCTCAATTTTTACTAAAATTTGGATCAAGATATGCAGTCAATAGGAAATTATGTACATGTGGTCCAAAAATTATCAAAAAAAATACATAAAAGTGGAAAAATCTACCAATCAAAGAAAGCTTAGAAGAACTCCCGTG